ACTTTACAATCGGCATGGCCATTGTGAGGACAACAATGCCTTAACAACACCTTCCATCGACGACTTCTTTTCTATTATAAACGCGTTTCTGATCTGAGGACAGAAGCACGAAAATGTTTTACAGTTCTTGATAAGGGGACCGAACTGCTGTGTGGTTCTACAATTAGAAGGGTCATTGAGACGGTAACAATGCCTTCCTCGAGCTATTTATACGATACAAATTTGTCGAACAACACGTTTTCGATGCTACGAGGATGGTCATTGAGAGGACTTAGAATTTAAACACCCCCCGCCCCTTACCCCACCGCACACGACGACTGAGAGGGCAAAGAATGGTCATATCATAGGATTAAGGTGTAGGGATGACGAGATTGAAGTGGGAAAAGAGCGCTGCTGCCCGTTCGCCCCGTCGATGAGTTATAGTAGTGGGGGGAGGGAGGTGGGTAGGAGGGGGAGACTATCCGTCGACTCATTTCTATTAAACAACACGTTTTCAATGCCATGAGGATGGTCATTGGGAGGACTTGGAATTTAAACACCCGCGCCCCTTACCCCACCGCACACGACGATTGAGAGGGCAAAGAATGGTCATATCATCGGATTAAGGTGTAGGGATGACGAGATTGAAGTGGGAAAAGAGCGCTGCTGCTCGTTCGCCCGATCGATGAGTTATAGTAGTGGGGAGAGGGAGGTGGAGAGGAGGGGGAGACACTATCCGTCGACTCATTTCTATTAAACAACACGTTTTCAATGCTATGAGGATGGTCATTGGGAGGACCCGGAATTTAAACACCCCCCGCCCCTTACCCCACCACACAAACCACCCCTTCACCCCCCCGGGAGGCAACAGAACCGGCGACCCCCTGGGAGGAAACAGAACCGGCGAATCAACCCTACTTTCCTCCATTCCGACGTGGATAATTTCAGTTATGGGAGAACAGACAGTCGACGCATCCACGTCAGTGAAACAGACATCTGTCCAGGAAAGGTAGAGAAGAAGTCTCTGAGCCCCTCCCAGTCGGCATGTCCGTAATGCCAAATTTTGCGACCTGTGCGAGTTTCTGCTGCCACAGCGGGTTCTGACCGAAATCTAACCTCGACAACACCGTGGTCTGAGTTGCCCAGGGGGGACAGGACGACAGCAGAGCTGTAAGGGACAGGATGCGTGGTCAGAACGAGATCCAGCACGCTACTGGCATGTGACGAGACGCGGGGGAAAAGAGTAAGGCCCGACACCAGCTGGGTCAGTCCTTGAGTAAGAGTGAACGCTTTAACTGCTGCATCGGTCTTGTTTGAGGCCAACCAAAGCAAATTACGGTCATTGAAATCACCAAGGAGAACTACCTCTGAAGCGGGGTGATTGATGTTCAGAAAGTCGATCTTGACGGCGAGGTATTCAAGAAGGTCATCTCAGTTATGGTCCGAGGGAGAGCGATAAAGGCAGCAAATGAATTTGGGGGATGCTTTGGAGTTGAGACGAAGCCACATAATGTCCTTCCGGTCTGATTCCAGAGAAACATCTCTGCAGCAGGAAATGCTGCTGCGTACAAAGGCTACAACTCCCCCGTTCTTTCTCAGAGTGCACCTCGTAATTTGAGAAGCTAATATGGTTAATCGGTGCGGACTCCGAGATTTTTGTCTCCGCCAAGAAAAGCATGGCAGGACGATTGGATTGCTAGTAGTGATGAACAGCATCAATGTTGCTGTTAATTCCGCAGATGTTCGTGAAACAAATTTTATCTTCGATGTTGTTCCCTCGAGTTCACCCTCAATCCGGCCATTCCCAGAGTGGAGTGAGCTTACGTCCGGAATTCTTAGTACTCGAGGGATCCACCATCATTAATTTCTTTGTTTTGGACGACAACCGACTGCATAGCTTAGGTGTGGAAACATGCGGACATTTATAAGACACCCTGGGAAAAGATAGCGGATGGTACCGCCTCGGTCGACTGGTGTTTGTCTACCACCTTCTTTTTGCGTGTTAATGATATTAAATAGACTTAAAGTGGCCTGTTGGCGGACTTGTACCGCCACCCGGTTTTTTAAATTCAATAAAGATGTAACAGTTATTTTTCAGACTTCCGTCGTCGATCTTAGATTTACGGCATAATTGTTGTTTTCTCAGATTTCGAACAGGTGTTGATCGCATGTAAAAATGTTGTAAATCATTGGAAACAACCATGTTTTAGATCGTAATTATTTTGATAATGTATGTTTATACGAAACAAGTACAGGAATACAGGGCTGTACATATTCACGTGTAGTGCAGCAACTCTGTGATATAAACGAATTCAATATAGCAACATAAATAGATACATATGCGAGAAGAGATGCGGGAGGTGTGGTATTGACTTTGACATCGATCGACGCAGTTTCTGGACAGGCCACAGGCGCACCGGTAAACAAATCTCATAAATGTGTATTTCCAATTTAGGCGTTCATCTAACAAAGTGCTTCGCTGCCACACCAACCCGGAACAAAATCAGTCAAGCTTTACACACTTTTCAAATTACTATTGAGCAACAGACAGAACATAAATCACCTTTTAAGTGCAATCTGTATAGCTAATATATTAGGTACCCAGACTTAGACTTGTCACAAGTCACAAAACTCGTATATACGTATAAATCATAAGAATTGTGCTGTAAACAATGTCAAAGAGGGTCAGCATTTGGAATACCAAATGATACCCAAAAATCGCAATGCTCAATTCCCATAGCTATAACGATAGTTAGTATGCCTCTGTCGCCATGATGTGTCAGAAAGTAACACAATGGTGTTAGATGACAAAGGCAAGTGTCAGATGTCCAGGGGGGGGGGCACCCGCGCCCTCCTCTACATCCGCCACTGTTTGCCCATTAGTCACCGTCTAATGGACGTTAGTCGAATCAGTAAGTCTTCGTTGTCTAGAAACCACAGTGTCAAGGAAAAAGAGAAAGGGAAAGAAAAGAAAAAAGGAGAAGAGCAAAGAAAATCAGAAGTGTATTAGTTTAAGAGTAAACATCTAGGCTTTTGACTTCCTACACGGGTTAATTTTGAGGTGAAGAAAAAGAAATTTTGATTCAGGTATTGTTAGAGTGCAATTTTGAGTTTACTAAAAGTTTGCGCTAATTTTTTATCACAGTGCGAGGCGTGGCTTTGAATGTTTACCAACTTGCTCCACTGTGTAGTCCACGTATTCACGCAACAGAGGGTTGCTGTGCAATTTCGCTTGACTATAACGTCGCTGCGCCTGAAGCTTGACATAATCCCTCAAGTGAGAAATGTCAAGGTCTCTGTGTAGTGTGTGTCTCATTTGAGACATACCATGGAGCGTTGCAAATTTAAAGAAGGATTTCAGTATTTTTTGAAGAAGCCAAAAAGGAAAACCCTTTTGGATTAGTTTATATAGGAGGCCCGCGTGCAACACTATGTCAAAGGCCTTGGAGACATTCAAAAGCAAGATGCTGAGGGAGAATCCTCTGGTTACGTGTTCCACCAACCTGACTGCCTGTAGCTCGGTGCTATACCCGGACCGAAACTAATTGAACGTCAGGAATCACATGGCGATTTGACGAAAAATTCTGAAGGTGACGATAAATCACCTTTTCGGCGAGCTTAGAAGGAGCAGGCAGCAACTAGTGGGTCGGTAATCCTGAGGAAATATCTAACTCACCTTCTTTTGGAATCATGATGACCTCGACCTCAGCAGTCCTCCACCCAGCAGGGAAGTACTGGATTCTGAGCATCGCATTGATTATTGTCAACAAATATGTCAGACCTTTCGGCGTGAACAGCTTCAACGCCTTGATGGTGATTTGATCCTCCCTAGGTGCTTTTCGCACCTTGAGGTCTTTAATATGAATTAGGAGCCCCGCTGGTGGGTAATGTGGAACCTCGGAGGGTTCCGCTTATGAGCTCTGTGGATCCTCAGACGAATCTTCTGAAGAGCATTCAGTGCCTCCGCTAACGCCGTTGGCCCTAAAATATCTCCTGACGGATGGTACGATATGTTGTTCCTCGTCGAGGTCATTATCAAGATCATAGTTGGGAATGAACTATTTTTACATGGCGACAGCGAAAACCTTGACCTTATCCTCCGTTCTGAAGTCTATGCATTCAGAACCGTGAATGTGTGGGAGTTGTTCTCGCTTTCCCTTTTTGAGTGACTTTGGGACCCTCCAGAGAGGAATACTTGAATCAAGCATTCTCGCCAGAAAGGTGTACAATAGTGTAGGAGATGCAGAAGTTCAGGAGACTCCGTTATAAGTCGTAAAGTCCTACAGGTAAGGCTTTGAACTTAACCTATCTGCATTATGTAGCTGGTAGATTATTTAAAATTATATGTATGGATTCAGCCTTTTGATAATCTTTGTAGTTGGAATCGTTATACGAAAGTTTTTCTTTTGTATAAAATAAGACGTGGAAATATCGGCAGAGTACAGTCATCACGCCCTAAGCTTTATAAAGCAAAATTCTGCCCATCTAGGCAAACAAATTAAAGACATAGAACTGAGCAAAGTAATTAAAAGCGACTAGGTTATTTACAAAGAATTATAATTTCATTAGTGTTTTCTGTATTGTTCAGAATTATCAAGAAGCAATTCAATGTGATACCATTTTTATACCATTGTCAACGGTATATGATTATTTTTTGAAAGTAAATATATTTTGTGCGTCATAATTAGTGTTGGATTTCATTATTCTGAGCCTTGTTCGTAGCAAAACTACTGAAAGAGATATTACTTACCCTTATTGAGCATATTTTATGAAGATATGTTCATAAAATAATCCATCAATACCGGAAATATCATTATCAGCAGATTTCAAATTAGGAACAAACGAAACTCTCGGCACATTCCTAGCATTCCTTATTCCAGGCGCATTGTCGGCATTTTGTCGATAGTTCCCCCTGATCTCCAGGCAAGTAGGCGGCGCAACCATCTGACAAACGTCATCGGTGTTGCCATCGTTTAACGTGCAGCTAGCAGCTCCCACTTCTTCAGTCTTATGTGTTTTGTGGAATGTCACAATCTGTGACATAAGACATACCGAATGTGGTATATATGTGTTGTGTTTTGTGCAGTTGTTTGTACGTTTGTAGTGGTTTGTAGGTTATAAAACTAATGTTTGTAATACAAAAAGCAATTTTCGTATTTGGAAACTGAAAAACGAAACTTCAAAATGGTGAGTAGAATATACATTCACTAAATATATCAGTGATATCACGGATACATAAACTTAACAAATAAGGCCTAACCAGTTCAAACTTTCAGGACGTCTTTTTGATGATCAGACGCAAGAAACTTACTATCTTCACGGATGCGAAAGACACAACCACTGTACTGGAATTGAAAAAAATTATTGAAGGTATTCACTAGCCCTTTTTGAGAAAGTGCTGCTTCATGATTGAGTATTTATAATTTCAGGATTGAATGTTTATAATTTCAGGGATCCTCAAAATACCACCACAAAATCAACAATTGTTCAACAAAGATAACACAGTGATGGAAGACAGTCATCTCTTGCAAGATTATGGTCTGACTTCACTCACAGCTAAAGCCCAAAACCCTGCAACCATTGGATTAGCTATTAGGTCAGTATTTAAGAGATTTGATTAGGTACAAGCCCAATATTGTGATATAAACATACCTTGTACTGTTGAAGGTATCAGTGTTGCTTATAAATTTCAGTACAGGGTTTCAGGAAAGCAAAACAAATATTGGTAATTCTCTAGTGTAACTACATCAGCCATTTTTGATGAAAAAATGATTTCAGACCATTTTGGGTGTAGATGAAAGGGACCAAAAATATTTTACTATATAATAAGTTTTTGTTGAATGTTTGTTTTCGAACACTGAGATGTTGCCAGATTTCATTACTTCATAGGTTTTTGTGTTAATGTATATTCTTGATCATTAAATTTTTACGTATGACTTCGAACTCCACACAACCCTACACAATGTCTAATGCAGTAGCACAACTCAAAGGGGAACAAATTCTATATTAAAAGGAGAGCTGCATGGAAATGCATATTGTCTTATATTTCTTGTGGCATGATTGAGGTATGTTGTATAGGATCCATTCACTCTGCAAATGTCATAATTAAGAAGGTGATTACACCTTTTAAAACCCAGATAATATCAACAATATTCTGCAACTAACCTATTTGTCAGCATTTTTAATCTCATTCACATCATTTGCAACTTTATCCTAGTGCCTATTTGGAAAAAGAAACCAAAAAGGCTGGTACAGCTAAGCTAGAGAATTGCCCACATATTTTCTAAGCATTAATTGAGGATCTATAAGAGTTCATGATTATATTAAATTATTATGAAAAATAGAAAGTAGGCTTTAACTTTGATTTAGTTGTGAGAGAGTTTCATAGATTTCTTCCAAACTATGCTTATTACACAATGTGTTAATTTGATGATTCATCCATTTTTTTCCAGTATAGTGTTTCTAACAAACTTATGCAGTCACTTGTAGCTTGTAGCTTCATTGAAACTGACTACTAGAGAACAGAGGTGCTGCTTCAAGTACCCCTTTTTTATTTTTGAACTCTATATTGCACTGTTGCTGTATATACATATATACACCCTCTGCTCCAAAAATAACCGAACTTTTTCAAAATAGAAACACTCAGTGTACATTCTGGGATAATTCTTTTTTATTCATCAATATACTCTCCATTCGCTTCTATACACTTATGTGCACGCTCAACCAATTTGTCAAATAAATCGGAAATCTCCTTTTCAGAAACCTTGTCTAGCTTGTCGGTCGTCGCCTGTTGAATGCTGTCATTTGTGTAGTGGTACTTACCTTTCATTGTAAGGTGAAGTTTCGGGAATAGAAAATGATCGCAGGCTGCCAGATCAGGTGAATACGGCGAGTGGTGCAACATAATAATCTGATTTTTTGGCAAAATTCACTCACAAGGCGTGAACGATGAGATGGAGCATTATCGTGCAAAAGTGACCAACTTCCTGGTTCGCGGTATTCAGGCCGAATGCGACGAATTCTGGCAAGCAAACGTCGTAAAACATCACGATAGTACTCACCCGTCACTGTTTGACCGGCTCGGACAAATTCTTTGTCTTCACTTTTGACTTCCCCAAACGACTTTTTTGGGGATGCCCTTCCTCGGGCGGCCTCCATTCAGCAGATTGACGCATTGTTTCCGGCTCATATTCAAAACACCACGTCTCGTCACCAGTTACTATCGTTTTCAAAAAGTTGGGGTCCTTACGAGCAGGCTTTAGGACCAAGCCATGCAGCCAGAAACTAGGTTGTTATATTTGCATTTCTAATTATGGACAAACACACGACGTCACATCCATAGCGAAGGCGAGATTCGAACTCGCGGCCCGGCCGGCCGGCTGATCAGTAGCACGACACTCTGACCCACGCGGCCAACCGAGGTCCCTTATGAGCAGTTTTAATGATGTCTTTACAATGTTCAATTCGATCCCATTTTGGTCATCAGTGAGTTTGTGTGGAACAAATCGTGAGTTTACCTTGCCAAGTCCCAATTCTTCGGTCAAAATGCGATAAAAGGTAGTAGAAGGGATGCCCAATTCCATTTCAATGAAACGCACTGACGATTTCTTGTTAGATTTGATAAATTCACGTACTTTTTCAATGTGGTCTGTTGATAAACCCGATTTTGGACGGCCTGGTCTTTCGTCATCGCTGATGGTTTCGCTACCCTCTTTGAATCGCTTGTGCCACTCGCAAATTTGCGTGCGGGATAAACAATCATGACTGTATACTTGTTGGAGCATTTGGTGCGTTTCGGTAAAAGATTTAGCAAGTATAACACAAAACTCAATCGTAACTCTTCATTTTCCGACCGATAGTCAAAACATACTAACACATACGACGCAATAACTTGACCGGTTTACATCCGATCTTCATGAAAACTTGACAGAATGTTAATGAAAGTCTGCGTTTTCGAACGCAAAGAGTTTACAACAGATGGCGCTAGTGGTTCTTTCTATTTTGAAGAAGATCGGTTATTTTTGGAACAGAGTATATATAAGTACATCTCCACATGGATAGGTCATCCTTTCATAAACCAGGAATAATTCACCTACCAGAAATACTGAATATATATACCAAATTTAATTCGTGAATATCCGACACCAAGATACATTGATAGAAGATCAGTTAATAAAACTGTACATTAACATTTCGGATTTCCATATAAAGTCCGCTATAAACGAGCCCCTTCCCACTTCAGTTGGCCCAACTATTGAAATCTTAGTTTTTTTCTTATCAAACACAAATAATAAAAATGTAGCAGGGTGTTATAGGTTTAAAATATTAACAATGAATATTTTGATAATATACAGGGTGTCCCAGAAGTCGACGTCAAGCCGAAACCGGGTGATAGGCAAAGTCATAGCAGCTATCAGAAAAATATTTAAAAAAATTTTATGTATGTGTTTTGAAAATTATAGGTCTTTGAAAAAGATATAGAAATTTCACACCCTACGGCAGTCTGTCAACTCCGGTTACTACAAATATTAACTTTCTTTGGATTTTATTTTTACAATGTAATGATGAATAATGCATCTTCAAACTGGTGTCTCAACCTTACTGCCAACTTTTCTCGTTCAGGAAAAATTGCCACTTATTTCCCAACCAAGTATTCCAAAGTAAAACTTTGCTCAACTTTAACTGGCTGTACTGGAAAAAAATGTACTTCGAGAGTTTGGCAAGTAACCTTAAAAGTTGGCGCATTTAATAACGATTAGAAAATGGTATAACACTTAGAAGATTACTCGTTAACTTATGCACAATTTTTATTTGAAAAAAAACTGATGAAAATTTTTCAAAATTTCCTAATTAAACAGCGATTATGAAAACGCACAAGGACCCTTAAGGATAACTGTTTGCACAACAGTGGGCGTCAAAATGCTGCTGATGATGATTTACCTTTACAGCAAATGCTCAAACTGTTTTCCTTCAGCCGCAATACACGCTCGACATCTTCTTAAAAAAGATCGGATTATTAAACGAGCGAATCCACGGTTATTAACAAACTCAGCTGCTTCCAATAGTCTTTGCCGTAGCTCAGCTACATTTTGAATCGGCTTGAAATACACTTTTTCTTTTTCAGTTCCCCAGTAAAAAAATCTAAAAGATTCAAATCAGGTGATCGGGCTGGCCACGGTATTGTACCAGACAGCCTTATCCATCTGCCTGGAAAGTTTTGATCGAGATACTCTCTCACTGAGAGTGCATAGTGCGCTGGGCAGCTATCATGCTGAAACCACATGTCCCTGTAAATACTCAGTGGCACGTCCACCAATAAATTTTGTACATGATTTTTCAAAAAAATCCAAATAAACTTCAGCAGTCAAAGTCTCTGGGAACTCAAACGGACCGATTATTTTACTATTTAAAATTCCTGTCCAATGGTTTATCTTGAAGCGATATTGAGATTTATCTTCTCTCATCAAATATGGGTTTGCTACGTGCCACTCGTGTAAGTTATGCAGGTTCATGTACCCATCTTTCTTAAATGTGGTATCATCCGACCATAAAATTTTTTCAAAGAACTGTGGATCTTTCCTGTGTCTTTCTAACATTGTGCGACAAAAAACAACTCGGGGCTCATAATCCCGTGGCAGGAGAGGTTGAACACGCTGTATGTGGTATGGATGAAGCACATCACTTACTTGCTATTGCACACTTTGATACCGATCAGTACTCCTTCGTTTACTGCGCATCTTTACATGTTCCTGCTTGTTGATTTCGTACTGTTACTAATTTTGGATTCGTGAACTGGACTGTTGATCGCTTGTGATTTGGATTTGGACTGTTTAATTGCTCTTCAAAACAACATTTGCTTTCCTTAGACTATCTTTGATTGTGTGATTGTGCAGTGCCGCTATGTCCGTGTACACCGTACAAGAATATGCTAACATGCACCTCATTTATGGGGAATGCAGATGCAACGCTAGTGCTGCAGCGAGACTTTACTGTGAGAGGTACCCGAATGCAGCTCGTCATCCAGATCATCGAGTGTTCACAAATGTGTACCGCTTACTGTTCTCAGAGGGCCAACTACCAAACCAATCACACGGTGAGGGAAGATCTTTCCTTCCTTACGAAGACGTGGTGCTAGGAGCTGTCGAAGAAGATCCGAGTACTTCAGTGCGTGCAATAGAACTAAAAACAGGTGTCCCCAAAAGTACAGCCCATAGAATGTTGCAAAAAAACGTGCTCCATCCATACCACGTACAGCGTGTTCAAGCTCTTCTGCCCCGGGATTATGAGCCCCGAGTTGTTTTTTGTCGCACAATGTTAGAAAGACACAGGGAAGATCCACGGTTCTTTGAAAAAATTGTATGGTCAGATGAGACCACATTTAAGAAAGATGTGTACATGAACCTGCATAACTTACACGAGTGGCACGTAGCAAACCCACATTTGATGAGAGAAGATAAATCTCAATATCGCTTCAAGATAAACCATTGGACAGGAATTTTAAATGGTAAAATAATCGGTCCGTTTGAGTTCCCAGAGACTTTGACTGCTGAGGTTTATTTAGGTTTTTTGCAAAATCATTTAGAAAATTTATTGGAG